AGGGTGCATGCAGGAGGCAATCAATCGATGTGTTTCTCTCACATCAATATTTCTGTCTTTCCCTCTCTCTTCCACTCTCTCTAAAAATCAATGGAAAAATATCCTCTGGTGAGGATCAAAAAAAAAATTCATTATGGAATGATCCTGCCTTGAGGCTCATATTCAGACTGTATAACCAGATAAATAGATATACCATTTGAAGATTCCTCCCACATCTAAGACCTGAGATGTACGTCTGGCAAGTAAATACTCAATGCATAGTTGCTCCTCCATTAATGTTCCTATCTCTCTACCATCTCAACTTTGTAAAGTACTCTCTCACCATATATATAAATGTCTAGGGAAGTAAATTTCAGCAATTGACTGAGACTGAGCGTCAGATGACAGAACAAACATGACTCCTCTCAGGAGAACTCCTTGAGCCCCAAATCCTGTTTGTTCCTGCCAATTCTGATGTCCCACACAGACAGCTTTGTGGTTCTGGTACAATATACTAGTAAGAATCTAGACCAAGAAGAATGAGGTAAAGTAGAAACACAAGGAAGCAGATCAAAGCACAGGGCAGGCTTATAATCATTCAATGAACATTTACAATGTATCTACTACAAGCCAAACTTAAGAGATGCAAAAGTGAGTCTTCACCTATCACCCAGCAAGAGAGCAAATGATTACACTAGAATTCAGGTAAAAACACAGAGGACAAGAAGGAAGGTAAGGCAGATAAGAAAGTGCTAAGTAAAAAAACTAATCACACTGACATATATTTAAAAATAAACATTTAAAGTAAAATAACAATTTAGAACTAAAATCCAAGATAATCTTAATATAGAAAAATGGTGCAATGAGAAATGTGAAGTAGAAATATGCTAAGATTCTTGTTTTGTACATGGTTAATAAATACACAACAATTAATTTTAAGCACTGAAGAAAAATATAAATTGAAATGTGATTAAAAGAAATACTCTAAAAAGTATATTAAATTCCCAAAACATTGTAAGTAATCGTACAGAAAACAGTGGAAGAAAAAGTTATAAATTTGACAAAGGAAAAGGAAAAATATGAAACAAGAAAGCATAGTAAGTTAGAAAAAAATAAAAGATAGCAAGCATAAAACTAAAAATGTCTGTAACTATATCAATAAGTTAAATGCCTATTTTAAAAGACGGAAACACCAAGCCAGATTAAAAATCCAGCTAGAAGCTATCTAAATGAGACATACCTAAAATAAATTTTCATGGTAGACTGGGAACAATGGGATGAAAAAAGATATTCCAAATTATAGTGGTTTAAATAATATAGAAGTTTATAGTAAGTCCTGGAGATCTAATACACAGCATAGTGAGTGTAGTCAACAATACTGTATTATAAGCTTCAAAGCTGCTAAGAGACTAAATCTTAATTGTTCTCACTACAAAAAAGAAATGACAATTATGTGATACAATAGAGGTGCTGGCTAATGCTATGGTGCTAATTATATTGTGAGATATAAGTATATCAAATCAACATATTTTACATGTTAAACTTACATATTACATGTCAATTACATTAGTAAAAAAGAAAACTTAATAAAGATATTTTCTAAACAAAGAGATATATTTCTTCCTCACATTATTGTGCCTGCCAAGGGACCTTTGCATCAGCCTTTAGTTCTGCCTTGTATGCTCTCCTCCAGCCCCCTATATTAATCAAACCAGTACTTCCTTGTCATTCAAGCCTTGGATAAAATGTGATACCATCCCCACACAAATAGGTCTTTATTACCAATAGTTCTGAAAAACACCATCATTTCCATTTCATTTTTTTAAATCTCTTCATTGATTTTTTTAAATTGACCTTTATTGTTGAAAGTATTACAGATGTCCACTTTTTTCCTTCACTGACTTCCTCCACCCCACTCCAGGCCCAGTTAGTGTCACTGGTGAATTCTACTAAATATTTTAAGAAAGAAGTAGTATGAATTCTACACAAATTTTTCCAGAAATAAATTGAAAAAGAGGGTTCATTTCCAACACATTTTATGAAGCTAGCAATACCCTGATACCAAAACCAAAGAAATTATAAGAAAATTGCAAACCAACATCCTTCATAAAAATTGATGCAAAAAATTTTCAGATTTTAACATATTAAGTCCAGAATACATAAAATGGGTAATACAGCATGACCAAGTAGATTTTACCACAGAAATGCAAGGCTGAGTTAATATTCAAATATCAATCAATGTAATTCACCATATTAACAAACTAAAAAAAGGAAAACCTATTATCATCTCAATAGATGGGAAAAAAAGCATTTGACAAAATTCAATCTTCATTCCTGATAAACACCGTTCTGCAAATTAAGAAAAGAAGGGAATTTTCCCAACCTGAATATGTATGTAAGCTTATATCTGACAGCACAGTTAATATTAAAAATAAAATAAAAACAAAACACTGATGCCCTGCCAGTGTGGGTCAGTGGTTGAGTATCACCCTATAAACCAGGTCAGGGTTCAATTCCCAGCCAGGGCACAAGCCCAGGTTGTGGGCTCACTCCCCAGTAAGGGGAGTATAGGAGGCAGCCAATTGATGATTCTCTCTCATCATTGATGTTTCTATCTCTCTCTCCTTCTCCCTTTCTCTCTCTGAAACCAATAAAAAAATTTTAAATATTAAAATAAATAAAAACACTGATGAATACTTTCCCCCTCAGATCAGGAATAAGGCAAAGATGTCCACTCTCACAACTTCTACTCAAGATTAAACTACTGGTTTTTAGCCTATAAATAAGGCAAGGAAAAGAAATAAAAGGTATCCAGATTGGAAAGTATACGTACAACTATTTATTCAGAGACACTGTCATCTATGTAGGAAACCCTACAGGTTCTACTTTGAAAAGCAACTAGAACTAATGAATGTACTTAACACGCTTACAGAATGCAAGGTCAATATACAAAATTCTACATACTAGAGAGGGGAAAAGTTGGAAAACAAAATTAAAGAAACAATACCAATTGCAATAACATCAAAAAGTTAGAAACACACAGATATAAATTTGATTAAAAAAAATGTATAGTTTTCTGACAGAAAACTTAAAGAAGGCCTAAATACGTGACATTGAATACCAGAAGATTCAATACTATTAAGATGTCAATTCTCCCTTATTCGATAGATTCAATGCTATCTCAATCAAAATCCCAGCAGGCATTTTGTAGAAATAATACAATGAGATATAGCAATGATTAAATGCCATTTTCTACCAAAAGAAAGTAGGGTTTGTTGGAGAAATTAACTAAGTATTTAGTTGGAAATGAATAAGAGGAGCCTAAATGTTTTATCTCAGATGGCAGGAAAGCTATGAAAGACTACTAGGGTCATATCCACAAGACTCAGAAGCCAATTTAACTTCCACTAGCCAAACCTGGAATAACTTGAGCTTCTCAGTGGTTGAGCATCAACCTATGAACCAGGAGGTCATGGTTTGATTTCCGGTCAGAGCACATGCCCAGGTTGTGGGCTCAATCCCTAGCAAAGGGGGAGGTGGGGAGGGCAGTGTGCATCAGGCAGCTGATCAATGATTCTCTCTCATCATTGATGTTTCTATCTCTCTCTCTCTCCCTTTCCCTTCCTCTCTTAAATCAATAAAAATAGATTTTTTAAAAAGAATGGAAACCTATCAAATTTTCAATCCATGAGTTCTAAAGTAACTGGCCACTTTCAGAGCATAACTAATGCATTATCTAGAAAACAAATTACAGGAATGAATCAAATATTTAGCCTACGCTTTCTTATTTTAACCAAACAGATGACAAGCAGCATTTCTTTAAAAATGTATTTCCGATAAATTAATGAATTAATTGATGACCTAGTTTTGGAGAGAAAACAAAGTAGGAATAGAAATATTAAATACCTAAGCCAAAGGCAAAATAAGTTAAAACAGGAGTAGAATAACAGAGGAAGATTTCAAGGAAGCAGTGAATATGGCTAAGTATGGGCCTGAGGTCCCAAAATATAGGGATCAGCTTTAAAGAGAAAAGAAATGTCTTTTCTCTTTAAAGCCGAGACTGCTAGAAAAATATGTAATCCTACTTGGTAGTCTAATGGCTCTTAAGTTAAGAGGTCAAGTCACACTCTAATAGAGACCATAAATTATTTATAGTGAGTATAAATTGGAAAAAAACAGAGAGGACTTGGTGTATATTACTGCTGACTGCATGCTATGTGTGTGTGCCTGTGTTAGTATAATAGTGGCGGGGGGGGGGGAGGGGGCATAAAGAGCAAGAAGAAATCCTAATAAACTATAAAAGGTAAAGTATTTATAATAGACCAAAGGTATTGGAGGAGGCACCCCTGAGTTGGATAATCAGAGAATATTATCAAATAGATTGAATGAAACTAGGAGACTAGGATGATTGGAGATTCCAGAAAGGGGCAGAGAAAAGGAAGACTGATAGGATGGGCTGTGGGAGAAACAGTAAGAAAAGAGAATGAAATCCAACCTATTCATTCAACAACATTTACCAAGTGCCTACCAGCCACCAGGTCTAGTGGAGAAGTTCCTTAGAACAACAGGAGCCAGGTGTTGTCATGAAGATCTAGGGCTACAACGGGGTGAAACTGTAGATCCTGAAAACAAAGGGGGGAAGAGGAAGAGTAACATGACACTAATAAGGGATTCTGATGTTAAAAGATGGACAACGATGTGGAAAAAATAATGATAAATCGTGGCTTGACTTTTTTTTTATTCTTCATTCCTGTATTAAAGAGATACAGCCATATTGTCAACTGTATTAATTTCAGTGATGACGCAGTAGCTTGCTATTCTAATCCAAAGCTAGGGAGGATGAGGGTTAGCTATTAGTGTACAGTTTTACTATTGTTATATTTCAATATCACATTTTAAAACAACCAAAAGAACACTTAAATAGATATCCCATTTTATGATTCATATTTTTGTAGAAAGAAAGACCCACTACATCCACAAATATACCTACTAAAACACATCACGCCATGAGAAAAACAACATTAGAAAGTACATGAGCATTTTATTAATCATCCGAGAAGGGAATTTTTGAAAATACAGTGACAGCTTGCAGTACTTTCCTTTGAACATGTGCTGACTTTTGCTGTCTGTTGTACTCATTTGTCAGGTTTCTTAACATTCCTCTTAGTACCGTACCTTTATTTAGTTCTCCCAGAGGAATATCAGCAATTTCTGCGAGCAAGAGGAAAATTTTCTGTCAATTTTGCATAATGACCAAAACAGAGTGATTGAATCACTTAATTGAAGAGCTGTAGTTTGTAATGTGATGAATATTAGACCCTGTTCACTGTGAAAAGGAAACAGTGGGTGGGTGTTCATGCAGACAGTAAGAACAGAGAGCCAAGTCTTTTTTGTCTTTTGTTTGCTTTGTTTTTGGAAGCTCACACAATCTACAAGGGAATCCCCCAAACCTGTAATAGCCAAAGGGTGACAGAGGGGAGGGGGCAGGGAGAAAAAAAATATGTCATTAAAACAGGAGCACATAAAAGCCTTGCATATAGATTGAGTTTTATATCCCATAATAATAATTTTTATTAGCCCACAAAATTGCCACTGTTCTTGACCTGACCTGTTAGCATCACAGCAAAGCTCCAGTTGAAGAATGTGCAATTTCAGTTAAAGGATGCATGGTGTCAATGCATTGGCCAGATTTTCAAATGTGGCTAACTTTGGGGCTATCCTAAAAGTTCTCAGTTCTCAAGGCTATGAGTATGTACTTGTTTGATTGATTGGTAGGAAATGACCCAATGCAGTCTAAGGGATATGGATCAAGATCACAGCTTCAAGTCACCTACAACACTTAGATGGTCACCTTGCTCTTGGCCTATAAAGGAATTACTGTGTCATTTGGAAGATGCTGGTGCTGTTTCCTGACTCAGGATGCCTCTCAACTCTCCCTCAACATTGAATAGATAATACTTTCCATTATCTATTCCAGCTAGAGTAAAAAAGCTGGTAAAGCTACCCTTTCTTTTGCCAGTTTTCTGCTATTTTAATTTAATTTTTGTCTTTTAAAAAGTTTTAGAAATATTCCACACTATTTATTAATTGACCTGGAAAATCCTAGGAGGTCATATAACATTTTCTGAGAACATTTAAATAATCTGTTTTATTTTAATTTTAGAAATCATAATGAGGTCCATTTAGAGTTGCTCACCATCCAAGATTTATAGGGACAACCAAGAAGTTGAAATATTTGAGAGTGCAGTTTTCAGAATGTGTGCTTCAGGATATGAGAGTCTCCATTTTCCATCTTAAAAAATGATCAGTCTACTACTAAATGAAATTGACCCATGCATAGCCACTACCCCAGACTCGACCTCGAGCTCCTTGCTACTGCACCTACATGTTCCTCATCATATAGTCCTCTCTATTTGACTGTTTCAGTGTCTTTACAAAATGGTAGCTAATTTTACCTAAAGCTAGTGATATGAGAGCCCCACAAACTTTTATGATCTGAGAAATCATATACCATCACTCTGCTTTATTCTGAGCATTAAATGAGTCACTAAGCTTGGCCCACACTTGAAAAAAGGAGTATTAAAGAATTTGTAGGCATATTTTTGAATCCCCACATACCCCAAACTCAATTCCCCAGAAACCAACACTTTCAGTTCTTTCAGCTCTTTCTTCTAATTTCTACATTTGTATTTTAACTAATATGCTCACCATCTCTTTGTTGTAGAAATTAAAATTTATAACCTTTATACCACTGTCCACCCACCCACTTACCCCATCACACACACACAATTCCTCTTACTTCAGCTTCCCAACAAAGCTGTAACAGATTTTTGGTTAAATTGGTAATCAGTGTTTAGCCCTAACTGGTTTGGCTCAGTGGATAGAGCACCGGCCTGCGGACTGAAGGGTCCCAGGTTCGATTCCGGTCAAGGGCATGTATCTTGGTTGCGGGCACATCCCCAGTGGGGAGTGTGCAGGAGGCAGCTGAATTGATGTTTCTCTCTCATCGATGTTTCTAACTCTCTATTTCTCTCCCTTCCTCTCTGTAAAATATCAATAAAATACAAAAAATCAGTGTTTAAATTAGCATAATCATGTAACATTATTTACAACTAAGGCTCATGGTGTAATTTATTTCATTTCTTTTCTATTACAACTTATTGTTTTCCCTAGAGGTAATAATTATCATTTTTTAGCTGCTTAATATTCTATGAGCCCATCAGAAACTTATACACAAATTTTCTAAAAACACTCAATCTCTCAATAAGTTAAAACAATTCAGGTAATCTATCAATTTTCTTTTAATTAGAGTTGGATTTTAGCCCTTTCTCTGTCATTAGTTATGCAATCTTTTACAAACGGTGAAGAAACATTTTGACCCTCCATTTCTTCACCCATCAAATGAAGACAAAGGTCAATAAAGCAACCCTTCCTGATGCAGACTTCATCTAAGAATCAACTGAGAGGCCAATATAATTTAGAAAAATATATATACTTGAATTCTAAGATTCTGAAACTTCCTGTTCTGAGGTACAGGTCTAAAACAATTGGCTTTTTCCCTCCTAAATTCAACAGAGACAACTATAGCTGATGGAAGCAAGAACAACATAATGCCAATCAGATGGTTTTGCCCAAGGTAATGCAGGATGAGGCTCAAGGGACTTTCTTGACTAGTAAGCTCATTAACATTAATAGCAGCTGTGAGTTCATATCCAAATGGGGAAAATGCCTCATGGAGTAAAATATGCTAACCTACTTTATGGACTACTTATTCATACTTTCAGTATTCTAGGAATAAGACAAACTGAGAAAGCATTAAATGTAAAGATCACTTTCTTGTTAATTGAATTTCATTTCCCTATTCTCAACTTCATTTATAAGGGAGGGGAGAGGGATTAATGTAAAAATCTCCATTAAGTTTCATTATTTACAGGAGTATACATGGTATCAGAGGTCTATTAGGAATTTTTATAGTAAAATATTTCCTCTGGAATATAAATCTTAAAAAATAATTTTGTTTTACCCTAAGAAAAAAAATAGTCTCCTACATTTCTGTAAAAAAAAAATAATTCATCATTATTAAATTACCACATTACATGCACAATTAAACTTATTTATTAAACAAGGCATATGCCAACAACTTTACAATAATCCTCTAAACTGTAATAGCAGATTTTCAACTTTAATAACAACATCATGCAGCTAATACTCAAAGGACTAATTTTAAAAGTAAGGGCATTTGGTAATTGAAACTGAAATTATACAATTAAGCACTTGAGTAATTTAAACATGAACATAAGTGTCCTGGCTGTGCTGTTCTTGGCTTTTAGTCAAATTTACTAGTGCTGGTTAGACTTTGTCTCTCTAATTATTTCTGCACATATTAGATCTTGCTAAACAGAAATTGAGAATTATTTAAAGTTTTTTATTCCTATGAATTTTCTGCTTCAAAAATACATCACTATATTCTTCTAATTAAAGCTTCACACCGATAATTGGGAACAACCTTGTGACATTTATCAAAACTCCACAGAAATTCAAAAACAGATATTTTATTTGTATACCTATTCCCAAAGTAGGCATCAAAGAAAAAGTTTTAATAGAAGTAAAAAGTTATCCAGTGAGTATATTTGACTTTTAAGTGTTTTTAAATGATCACTGTTTCTTTCCACCCCATATTAGCCTTTGGAACATTCTAAAATACAATAGGCTCTCTCTTGTCAACGAATGTGACAGAAAAGCCTCTAACTTGGTAAAAATTATCTCTGTGATTTTTACTGTATGATCAAGGCTTTGGATATTATAAAATTACAGTGGGATTTAGAAATATTACTAAAGTAAACCATAAAAATTGCCAACTTTTTAAAGGTAGGGAACAGAAACAAGAAACACCGTAAATGTCCCAAAACAAGGCACAGGCTTTGAAACCAGAAGAAGCAGGCAGGCTGTCTCTGACCAATAGAAGGATTACATATAATGTAACTCAGCACCAAGGAAAGATGGCATCCACCATTAAGACCTCATTACCACAACGGAGTACAGAGGCTCAGAACTGGGGGAAAGGACACATTTCAAGTCAGGAAACTGCACAGTAAAGGGAGAAGGGGATAAAAGAGCAGGTAAGTTCCAGGATATGTTGATCATGCCTATTCCTTCTCCTATCATACCCAGATAGATGTTCAGGGTACAATAGGAGAGGCTGTAATAGGTGAAGCTGAACATGTAGGCATACTCCAGATGACAAAGAACCTTGGATTCAAGGCTAAGGCATTGGGATTTTTTTTTTCCTGGAAGCAATGGGGAGTCACTGTGGGGTGTTTTTAAAACAGAGAATAGGCATGATCAAATTTGCATTTCAAAAAGATCCTTCTGGCAGCAGGGTGAACATGTTATTGAGGTAGGCTAGAATGGAGGAAAGGAAGGACACTTGTTACAGTAGTCCAGAACAGCACTTTAACACATTGCAATAGTCCAGAATAGCATTTTGCTATATTACAGTATTCCAGTACAGCACTTGACCATGTTACAGTAGTAGGCTGTGAAGAATGAGCACCTGAACCAAGTCAGCAGCAGCTGAAAAAGAGAAGGGTCCCTGGACAGTGTTTCACAGTGGTTAGAGCGTCAGCCTACTGACTGAAGGGCCTCGGGTTCGATTCCTGGTCGAGGACATGTACCTGTGTTGCAGGCTCAATTCCCCAGATTACAGGTTCAATCCCCAGCCAGATTGGGGTGCATGTGAGAGACAACCAGTCACTGTGTCGATGTTTCTCTCTCTTCTCTCCCCCTCCTCCCTTCCACTGTCTAAATATCAATGAAAAAAAATATCCTCGGGAGAGGATTAACAAAAAAATATTTTAAAAGAGAAGGGACGAGGGAGAAAGGAAGATGGTGGCGTACGTAAACGCCTGTACTTGCCGCCTTCCACACTACATCAAAAATACAGAACAGCGTCGGCCTGCGGACTGAAGAGTCCCGGGTTAAATTCCAGTCAAGGGCATGTACCTTGGTTTCGGGCACGTCCCCAGTGGGGGGGGGGTGCAGGAGGCGGCTATCCGATGTTTCTCTCTCATCGATGTTTCTCTCTCATCGATGTTTCTAACTCTCTATCCCTCTCCCTTCCTCTCTGTAAAAAATCAATAAAATATATATTTTAAAGAAATAAAATACAGAACAATCATCATCCAGAACCACTAGAAAGCTGGCTGAATGGAAGTCCTACAACAAGAGAAGTAAAGAAGAAAGCACATTGAGACTGGTAGGAGGTGTGGAGGCACTAAACGAGCTGGTCTGGCACCCACATGTAGCTTTTCTAATTGGGAGGGAGACTGTCTCTGCAGAGGCCACCTAGAGGAGCAAGGAGTCCCAGTCCCACACCACAACCCCAGCCCAGGGTCCAAGAGCTGGGAAAAGAAGTCCCTACGGGCAGTAAGAACTACAGGCTGTAAAAACC